GAAACCTATAGGAGAGGTTGGTTGTTGTGAATCAGGGATGGCAGAGCGAAGCCACTCATGGATCGAAAGGTGATTGATCTCTCTCACTATTCTCTCTTTCTCTGACTATCTACCTACCTACCTACCTATCTATCTACCTACCTATCTATCTATCGATCGATCTATCTATCTCTCTCTCTCTCTCTCTCTCCTTCATCTGTCTAGCTGTCTACCTGTCTATCTGTCTATCTATCTATTTGTCTCCCTGTCTATCTGTGGTGCAGTGTCATTGAGTGTAATGTAGTGTAGTGTAATTGTAGTGTGGTGTAGTGGAGTGTAGTGGAATGTAATGTAGTGTAGTGTAATGTAGTGTAGTGTAATTTAGTGTAGTGTAATTTAGTGTAGTGGGGTGTAGTGGAGTGTAGTTGTGTAGTTGTAGTTGTAGTTGTAGTGGAGTGTAGTGTAGTGGAATGTAGTGAAGTGCAGTGGAAGGTAGTGTCATGTAGTGTAGTGTAATGTAGTTTAGTGTAGTGGAGTGTAGTGTAGTGTAATGTAGTGAAGTGTAGTGTAATTTAGTGTGGTGGAGTGTAGCGTAGTGGATTGTAGTGTAATGTAGTGTAGTGTAGTGTAATTTAGTGTAGTGGAGTGTAGTTGTGTAGTTGTAGTTGGACCACGGCGCATAATTCGCCGTGGTAAAATACGCATTTTTTGACCATTGGAGGGGTTTCGGTGGGGTGGGGGGGTGTATTAACGTGCTGACGACCACGTCCTTGATACTATATACGTCGACAAGACATGTCGAGGTAACTTGGAAGACGTTCTTGATGCTACGTTGATGCACGTTGGGTGGGGTGGGGTGGGGTGGGGGGGTGTATTAACGTTCTGACGACCACGTCCTTGATACTACGTCGACAAGACATGTCGAGGTAACTTGGAAGACGTTCTTGATGCTACGTTGATGACGTGGGGTGGGGTCGGGTGGGGGGGTGTATTAACGTTCTGACGACCACGTCCTTGATACTACGTCGACAAGACATGTCGAGGTAACTTGGAAGACGTTCTTGATGCTACGTTGATGACGTGGGGTGGGGTGGGGTGGGGTGGGGTGGGGTGGGGGGGTGTATTAACGTCCTGACGACCACGTCCTTGATACTACTCGACAGAGACATGTGCGAGGTACCTTGGAAGAACATTCTTGCTGCTCTTTGATGACGTGCGGGTGGGGTGGGGGGTGTATTACCCGTCCTGACGACCACGTCCTTGTACTGGCTCGTCGACAAGACATGTCGAGGTAACTTGGAAGACGTTCTTGCTGCTACGTTGATGACGTGGGGTGGGGTGGGGTGGGGGGTTGTATTAACGTCCTGACGACCACGTCCTTGATACTACGTCGACAAGACATGTCGAGGTAACTTGGAAGACATTCTTGCTGCTACGTTGATGACGTGGGGTGGGGTGGGGGGGTGTATTAACGTCCTGACGACCACGTCCTTGATACTACGTCGACAAGACATGCCCAAAAAGAAGTTGATGAAAGATCCACACACAAAGTCCCTGTGTCCCTTTTTCGAACACCAAGTCTACGCATGGGCTTGGCGCAAGAACTTGGGCCAGTTGTCCGCAAAGATCTTTTTGCGGCAGCTCACCAAAATTTGGTGAACAGCACAGTAGTTTACCCGCATTTTGCAGAAGAGTAAAAAAAGAGTTTTTGCCAAGAGTCACCGCAAACGAAACAAAAATCCCAATGGAATTTCAATGATTTCAGCATCGCATGGAATTCATCAAGTGGCCATTTTCCATCACGGCGAAATATGAGCCGTGAACCTAGTTGTAGTTGTAGTTGTAGTGTAGTGTAATGTAGTGAAGTGTAGTGAAAGGTAGTGTAGTGTAGTGTAATGTAGTGTAGTGGAGTGTAGTGTAATGTAGTGTAGTGTAATGTAGTGTAGTGTAATTTAGTGTAGTGGAGTGTAGTGGAGTGTAGTGGAGTGTTGGATTGTGGTTTCCAAGTACCTAACCCCTACTCCGTAGTTATGTGTTGCTAGTGTATCGATCTGGTAGTTGTAATGTCATTAGTCTTAGTGGAAGTGTAAGTGTTAGTGTAATGTTTAAGTGTAAATCTTAAGTGGAAGCGAAGCGAAGCGAAAACGACATCTGCACCTCCAAAAGTGGTCCGAACCCCTTGTGTTTTTTAACATTTGGAACTTCGTAAATTGTGCTTCGCGCCCACAATACGGCGTGCATTTTTGCAACATCCGAAACCAGCCCAAAAGTGGCGCCGAAACGATGTGGTTGTGATTTTGTACATTTGACAATTGGAAAATGTGCTGTCGTGCCACAACGGCAGTGCACTTTTTTCGACCTCTGAACGTCCAAAATGTGCATTTTCACACTTGGAAATGTGCTATCGCTGCCACAAACGGGCGTGCACTTCGTATCGACAATCTCAACTTCCAAAAGTGGCTCCGAGCCTGAGTGATGTTTTGTACATTTTGAATTCGAAATGTGCTTCGCGCCACAACGGCGTGCCCTTTTTCGACATCGCAACTTCCAAAAGTGGTCCGACGCTGGTGTGTTTTGTACATTTTGACTTCGAAATGTGCTTCGCGCCACAACGGCGTGCAATTTTTCATCTCTCATCTGGCCAGCTAGCTCCGCACCCGCCGCTTTAGCGAGCCTACTTTTCGACCCTCCGGAGCCACAAATCATTGGAAAAACACAGTGTTTCGCGACTTTCCTACCTTTTCGCGCATCTGCATCTTCTTTCTTCTGACTCTTTCTCTTTCTACTCTTCTCTCTTCTAATCTTTCTCTTCTCTCTGCCCTCTTCCCTGCCTGCTTTTCATCTTTCCAATATTGTCGGAAGTTTGAACGTTCTTAAACTTCCTTCGAATATATAAAACATCATTTCTTTAAGTAGTTTTTGGGCTCTCGTTCAGTTTTTAGGTCATTGGGTTCTGGGTTGAAGTCCAACGTGAGGACACCGTCGTTTGACTTGATAAATTGTTTTAAAGAAATGGCAACTTATGGTAAATATAGGTATGATAATAGGTATGAAAACGGAAAGATTTACAAAATTACAGATGTTGGATATAATAAATGCTGTATTGGGAGCACCTGTCAAAGTTTGAGCAAAAGAATGGAAAGACATAGAAAACAATATAAGGAATACATCAAAGGGAGGATGAAAAAGAAGACAACCGCAATAGATATATTCAATGAATTCGGTATTGAGAATTGTACGATTGAACTGATTGAGAACTACCCGTGTCAAAGTAAGGAAGAATTGTTCAAAAGAGAAGGGGGACATATCGAAGCAACAGAATGTGTCAATAGACAGATTGCAGGTAGGACGCAACAGGAGTGGAAACTGGACAATCCAGAGCAAGCGAGAGAATACTATGAAAGAGGCAAGGCACGTGCCAGAGCATACTATCACAAACATAAAGAGGAAATAATAGAAAAACGCCGTTTGAATGAAGAAAAAATCATAGAACAACGCCTTTTGAAGGTTGAATGTCCGTTTTGTAAGCGTTAATTTTCTCAATACTATGCTCTATGGCACCAAAAGAACAACTGTGTCAAACAAACGGGAATGGACAATGAATAGATAAAACATTCTGATTAACAAAGCGTTGTTAATGAGAAGGTTTATTTTTAGTGTCGTCTGCTGTTCATACATCTGTTGGTTTGACGGTGTTTTGATAGATTGGATTTGCTTGTGATGGTTCGTCCGCAGTCTGGACAGGTGAAAGGGGTTGATAATTTCTTTTGATAATACTTTGAAAAATAATTGGGGTCTAATGGTTTCTTGTCGTAAGTTCCGTCGGGTTTCCATCTTGTGGATGTTGCGGTTGGTGGATTTTGAGAGTTACTGGATTGGTGTAGTGCTTCCGCCATTCGGTCAAAAAGGTCTTCGTCCATTTCTTGCTTCATACCGTTAATATACATATAGCAGGGCATATTCAATTCTTGATTCTATAAGGCGTCATTTCTTTAAGTGTTTTTGGGTCTGTTGCTCTAAAAATTGTGTTTTTAACAAGTGTCCTAAATTGATGTTTTTTGAACGCTAAAACGATGGTTTCGGACACTTGTTGAAGTACGGATTTTTTGTCTTCAAAAGTTCAGGGTGAAACGATTTGTCCGTGTTTGATGGTTTAGCTATAAAAGTTGAGGGTGAAACGATTTGTCCGTGTTTCATGCTTTTGTCAAAAGTTGAGGGTGAAACGATTTGTCCGTGTTTGATGGTTTGGCTAAAAAAGTTCAGGGTGAAACGATTTGTGTGTTGTTGCTTGTTCGGTGAATGATTGATACTCGGTTCTGGGTATCGTTGATACTTGGATACTGGTATCACGGTATCATTGATACTCGGTTCTGGGTATCGTTGATACTTGGATACTGGTATCAGGGTATCTTTGATACTTGGTTCTGGGTATCGTTGATACTTGGATATTGGTATCTGGGTATCATTGATGCTCGGTTTGGGGTATCATTGATACTCGGTTCTGGGTATCATTGATACTCGGTTCCGGGTATCGTTGATACTTGGATACTGGTATCACGGTATCATTGATACTCGGTTCTGGGTATCGTTGATACTTGGATACTGGTATCAGGGTATCTTTGATACTTGGTTCTGGGTATCGTTGATACTTGGATATTGGTATCTGGGTATCATTGATACTCGGTTTGGGGTATCATTGATACTCGGTTCTGGGTATCATTGATACTCGGTTCCGGGTATCATTGATACTTGGATACTGGTATCAGGGTATCATTGATATTCGGTTTGGGGTATCATTGATACTCGGTTCTGGGTATCGTTGATACTTGGATACTGGTATCTGGGTATCATTGATACTAGGCTCTGGGTATCGTTGATACTTAGATACTGGTATCTGGATATCATTGATAATTACTAGGGTTGGGTATCTGCGGTTGTGCATGCAATATGTGAAAATTACTCTTGGATGACTCACCCACAAAACATCTCAAGCGCCACAGTTTTTTTTTCACCGGCGAAGCTCACATGTATCCTGCATCCCTCAACTTCTGCTCATCCTCTTCAAAGAGCTTGGCGACGAAATGCCAATGCTTCAAAGCCACTCTTAAAGTGGTTGTACTCCTCAGGACGCAGTCTGCTGGCTCCTCACGAAGAAGATTCAAAGTCATTTGGGTCGTCTGCTTGCTGTTTGGGAGAAACCCCATGGGTCCTGCCTCAGCCACCTTGAGGAGATAGTCCTTCACTTCCTGGTCATCCAATTTCTTTTCAATTGGTTCCACCCTCCGGTTGTACCACTGCTCAACCCGCTTGATGACCGCATCCGCACCTTTCTGACCTTCTCTGGAGACGTTTTCCAGTATCTCGCCCAAGGCGCGCAAGTTGCCCCCTGTGCGGATGTAGTAGTGCTTCAACACCTCCTCTATCTTGTCGTCGGCAAGAACCTTGTTCAGCGTCCGGAAGTCATTTCCCTGCTTCGCCACCTCCTTGACCACATACGTGAAGTCTTCAAAAGGTAGTGGTCGCACCACCACCAGCCTTGACATGTTAAACCTTTCTTTGATGATGTCTGCCACTGCAGACACGCTGACCTCCAAAATGAACTTGCACGCGGCATTGTCGTAGGTGACGTTGCGAGCGAAGGCACCGAGGGTGGAAGCAATGTCATCACAGGCATCCCTGCTAAATTTGTCTCCGCGGCTTTTGGTTGTGAGTTGCAGGTATACCACGACGGCACTGCCTGTTCGGCGCTTGGACGTCTCATTCACCCGTTCCAACAAAAATTTGACATTTGACGGGTAATGTCGGGGCAAATCTACGGCTTGTAACGCTGGGGGTAGCGCCTCGTTCAGCTTCAAGTCCTCACCAGGACGAACAGAAATATCAAGAGGAAGCACCCTTTGCCATTCTTCACATGCTCACACATGAGATTGTTCAGCATGGTTGATTTCCCAATGCCTTGGGAACCACTGACCACCAAGAAGGAAGGGGTGCTCAAAGCTTCACCTTGAGGTGAATTGATGAAGTCCTTGATGTAGCCTCCTCGAGAGGCCGTGCAGGGGCGGGCTCTTTCCTTTTCAGCCTTTGCCCGGCCTTCCTCACTGCCCTGTTCATGAAGAAGCCAGGAAGGAACCTTTGAATGAGAGCTTGGAGAACCAGCACTACGACGCTCCCTGTGCTCAACAACGTCCAACCAGTTTTAACGGTCTGCGCCGGAAAAGCCCTTGCGGGCTGTGTTCGTGCATGACCGCTTGGAAGGACGAACCGGCCTGGCGCAAGCTCAACCTGCCTCACAAAGATGAATCTGCGGAATGTCGAAGAAAAGGGACAATACATCGGTTCAGTCAATGTGTGCCAAACTGGCTTTGGTATTGAAGGATGCTTGATATGCAAAACCAAACAGGAACCACAGCGCCTAACCTCAATCAATACATGAATTTGAAGCAAATAATTCGACATCTTTGAACAACAGCTTGGTAGAATTTGAACCTGGACCTACACACAGAAACTCTGACCACCTCAACAATGATCCCCTTCATTCAATCCAAACATTATCACAACAACCTCAACAACACATTTAGCAAGATAATCAAAAAGAAACAGTCAAACATTTAGATTTACAACATTGAACAAAAACATAACAGCCTCCCACCTGACCTCCAACCTGTCTTGTCCTAGCATCCCTGTTTTACAATTTTTTTCTGGGACATTCCAGGGTGCCCGTTTTGACGTTCTGCATCAATACAATCTTTGCTTCCACAGCTGCTCAATGAGTTTCGGGGAGTCCCTGGGAACTTTAGCTTTCCACTCATCATTCCTGATATCAGTGGCTCCCTAGCTGCCCCAACATCTGTGGACATGTGACCTTGAGGTTTGGGAGGGGACTTTGCATCCGGCTCCGTAGAGGGTCGGCCGAACCTCGGTCAGGTTGCACGGCTGGATAACTAGGGGGGTTCCACATGTGCCATCTTGGCTGCTCACACATGATTGCAAATAGGTACATGCAAAAGTATGCATACACAAATATGCGCGGTATGTATATGCATTATACTATATAAACCAATATAAACCTATATGACCCCCCATATTTTGATATATTTTGATGACATCTCGAGCTGTTAAGTGAGCACCGGACCATGCTGGCCTCTTTCCTCTTGGCCTGGGTTCAGTGATTGCCGCAATTTAGGATTCACCAAATGCGTTAAACCTCCAATTTTGAATATCTTTATACCCATAAAAAATCGCAATATATTGAGGATCGTTTTCCGTTTTTTAAATTGGGTTTACCATATTAGCCAATAAGTCGACAATTTTCACCCAAGAATGGGTACCAAAATGTCACCCGAGCTCCAGGCCAAATGTCGCCATTGCTTCCGAAGTAGACCTCGGAGAGCCGGCTTCGCATGGCTTCGCAGTTGGATCACTCCCTTCATGCCATTGTCCCGCCAAAAACCGGTCGAGCACCAAACACCAATCAACAAGAGATGTTTGATCTAAGCTCTGGTAGCTTCAACCCATTGCTCAAGGCTTAAAGTAACTTGAATTCCCAAGGTCAATCGTCCAAGCTCCCCACGTCGAGCTCTTGATCCGTCCACATCTCGGCTTCCGGGGGAAGCATGGCGGAAAAGCCAGGGTAGCGGCCAAACCTAGGGCGGTGACAGGATGTGTTCAGGGATCCTAGGGACCTACAATACTTCTTTTATGTATTGGGAGACGTTGGGAAAGAAACCCAAGCCCAAAACTCTATGGAATAGTGAAAACATGTGAAAGCTGATGGGCTCCAATCCAAAACCAAAAAAATCATCCTGATGATGACTGGCGCCATGTGTTGGGGAAGAATTCCATAGTTATACCCTCCATGTTGAAATAATCCCCAACAGCTCGAGTGCAGATATGAATGTGAACACAGTATAAATATATCTACAGGCAATGTGTAATTATATAACATACATATGAAAAATAGACAAAAATCGATTGTTGAGTTATCGAATGTTTGGACCTCCTATGATTGGGATTTCAATCTCAGAGATTGAAACACACATCCACTGGATGATTGGCCTGGCTGGTCACGTGGGGGACTTCCGAATGTCCTTTGGAAATGATCAGCCCCTGAAATTTGTTCTACTCTTCTTTTCACGACCCCTATGCGAAAACCCAATAATCACCCCATCCCCACCTTTGGTTTGTTCTTTGGTATACCGGTTGACTATGGTTGACTAGGATGATGTTTACAGTGACCATGGTTTATGGACGTTTATGGCATTCGCTAGTTGATACCGAAAAACTGTGGTGAATATTGGTGAATGCTTGGATTAATAGCTATGGTCAATATTGATTCATATCTATTTTCCTATGGTAATTTAACATAACTATGGAAAATCACCATTTTCAATGGGAAAATCCACTATAAATGGTCATTTTCAATAGATGGTACCCACCAATGAACCACAGCTGTTAATCCATGGGCGCATCTCAGAATTCGTTTTTTTTGCCGGGGCTTCGAAAAGAGGGTTTGCCCCATCAGGATTTTCAGATTGAACCATTAAAGAAATCCCCCCCAGTTAGGTTTGGTGTATAACATTTATAACCCTCATGAATACCCTAGGTTGACTATAATATGTTTATACATATATATATATCAGTATCATAAACCATACTTATATATTGTGGGCAATATTGTATAATAATAAAACTATATTCTATAAGTAGGTTGGCTATTATAGTGATAAGTATCATAAACCATAGCTATTGGAGCCATGTTCACCAACAAAAAATGCGATTTCGTGGACCCGGATGCCAAGGTGCCAAGTTTGCACTCGCGCACTCCAGCCATCAGGAATTTCACCCGGATGCCGCAGGGGTGGTGCCTGGGCGGGCGATGGACCAGGCAAGCGTCGTTGAGGGAATCATCATCCGAAATATGGTTGATGATTATGGTTGACATCGAAACATGATGAAACATGAACCCCAAATATGCTTGAAATATGGTTGATATCCAAAAATGAACGAAACTACAGACCGGCAACAAATCTATCCAAGTTTCAGTGGCATATCCTATCTCATAGCGGTGGTTTGACAGAAACGTTGCAGGGACCCCTTGTTTTTGCAACCACCGAAATTGAGGATCCAATTCAACTGCCAAGTCTTGGATTTCCATGAGATCCCCTGTGGTATCAAAATTGAGTCGGTTTAACCACTGGATCCCCATAATTCCCAGAAATATCCCGGCATTGTATGGTATTAATATCCCCACCAATTTGGCCAAATTCTCATGAATCCTCATAACTATCCTAATATTTAATGGGCTCATTTATCAAGAATTGTCCAAAATTACAGCCCCATGATCTCGAAATCCCATTGCAGCCCCGGTGTTTCATAGCTACCAGCTACCAAGTATTAGGATTTCATAGTTGCGTCTCAGCTATTTCGGAGGTTTCCTAAATGGTGGTACCCCCAAATATCCCCAAATCATCCATGTCATTAGACCTTAGTATTGAATCCTATGGTGACTTGGGGTTCCCTAGCAGGATGGGAAAATCCCTAGCGGTGCCTCAGGCGGTGAAGACGACTGGGGCGGAACTTCCGGCCGGCGCACCGCCTGGCGGTGAAGATAAACTCAGATAGACCCATAAGAATGGGGAGATCAGTGGATATCCACCATCGAAAATGCAAGAATAATGTATTTTTTATCAAGAAAACTTGGTGGTCGCAAAGCCTGTGGGTGAGGGCTATGCCCAAGATATTGCATGTATATTATGAAGAATGATGAAATTGACTTAAAATAGATATTATCACCCACTAGCTGTGGGGATCTGCCCCTGAGATTGAACATGTCTTTTCATCGCGCACACTAGACAAAATTGGATCTTTTAAGTGATCCATCAGGAACTGAGTCCTTTCACGTGCAGATTCGATGGGAAACATATTAACCTATATACGTAGTATCAAATGAATAATGGAAGGTACTCCGAAACGACCATCGTGACCAGAAACGCCATCAAAAAAGGTCCAATAACATAATGACAAGCATTGAAGAGCCATCAAATAAAGTCCAAAATACTGAAAGTAGTCGTAATAGGGGGCTCGGCTTAGCCCTTCGCCATGACGTCAAATAAAGTCGTGAAAAATCAAAATTGTAGTTTGTTGGGGTTCTTGGCTTAGCCCCTTGCCATTTCAACGGAAAAACGCAGGTACGCATGGCTGATCAGGCCATGTATCACCAGGGAATCCAGAGTGTCTTCGTTGGTGGTAGACTCTGGACCCTGCTACCACCCCCGGCAAACACTAAAAACATTGAAGCCGAATCAGAAGTTTTACATCTATTCAGATCCGATTCAGAAGTTTTACATCTATTCAGATGTTACACACACACAAACATGGGGTAGACGGTACCTGACCCTCCAATAGCAGTAGGAAACCCATGGAATCCCAACTTTTTTTTCGCCATCTGTAGTGCTTCCTATAGAGTTATCATTCCTCATTGATTTAGTTTTTACTGGCTGAACTTCCTCCCCGTCCGGCGGAAATTGCAAGAGTCTATATAACTATATATAATTATATATATATATAATTATATATATATATACATCTATAAGCCCTCATTGGACTCCCAAAATAATTAGGAAAAAGACTTTACATATTGTGCGTCGTAGTTAAGTCGGTAGGATTCACAGAGGGGCGGAATGATGCCATCTGCTTCATCAATCTGGAGGTTCCCGGTTTTGATTGGACACGAATCTGCAACCCCAAGAAAGAAGTGAACCGGGGGCCGGGGGATGCGCTTGCGATATTGCCTTAGTATTTATCATGGCGAGTATACCATGCCTGGCATTTGGAATTCCTCATGCTACTGGCTTTCAGTACTAATCCCTGTCAAGCACTGGACTTCCATCTGCATAGCGTGTGCTCATGAGCCACCATCACCGATTTTGCCCCTTAGATCTCAATGTTTGAGGGTTGTCCCCCCCAACTGTGGGGCCCCCACTTTTGCTTGCTTAGATGCTTATTTTCCAAAATCTTCAAACATATGGTCCGATATGGGGATCTCCACGTAACATATTTCATACTTAACATCATCACCAACATATTTTACCAAAATCACCATCTGCGTCTCCAAAAAAACAAACGAAAGACCGCCGGCACCTTTGTGGCGTGCGCCTTGGCTGGTCTCCTTGGTATGGGCCTCGGCTCATCATCAAGGTGAGGATGGTTTATACCACAGTAAGTCACTGGGAATGGCTATGGAAGCCTATCGGCTACAGTCATTATCAACTATAACATGCTATAACCCATAGGATCCATGTATGCTATATATGGTAACATTTACCATCAATATACCGCAAATATCCCCAAATGTTAGCATATATACCATACATGGATCCTATGGGTACTGGGAATGGTTAGAATGATGGTTCAATGATAGGAACGTGAAATCCAGTTGAGATAGGGCTTCCAAGCTACCCATCTACCCTACCAAACCAGCGTCATCATTGGTTGAATTTCCCTCAGCCAAAAAAAAACATACAAAATGGGGAGGGCCCGTATGAATGGAGAATTGAACAATCATTGGAACAATCATAGAAGTTATATATCCTGAACTAGGGTTGATTTTGATGGTTTTGCTTGGATTCGTTCAAGAAACCAACGTTTAGTTTGCCATCTTTTCCCCATTCCAACACAGGGTTTCTGATACTTTCCAATCTTTTCAGGCAAGCAATTTTGGCAAAATGAGGCTGACATAGGCTGACTCAAACTTGGGCATCTCACCAACCAAACTGCAACATGAGGACCCATCAGCAACAGGTCTGATGACGCATGAGGCTGATGACAGCTGAAACCTACTTTACCAAATCAAAAACGGCTTTCGGACTTACTCACTAAAATGATTGCTATTAGGTACAAGCACTTGCCAGCCTGCGTAATACGTATAAACGGGAATAGTTTGCCAACAACTCGGCAGATGTGAATGCGTCAAACCACATCATGGTGATAGGCATCGATCGATGTTTTTGGTGTTTCCGAAGTTGGACGATGATTCCTGACGACACGGGAATATAATGAAAACCAACGCGGACCATCCCTTGACAAACAAATTGCTGTAACATTTTTGGGGTGTGACCATGTTTGTGGTATCCAAGTCAGCCACCTAGTTAGGGTTGGGATGTGCAACAGTCATCCATGGCTCTCAGTAAAGCACCGCCATTTTTTCAGCTGCCGCGCGTCGGATGGCGGCGTCTCAGGGTCCAGGTCCAACCCTCAGCAACTGACCAAATCCAATGAACGAACTATAGCTGGATGGACTCAGGAAACGCAGGTGATTTAGGATCAATAAGGCACACTGCGTCAAACTGCCGCAAATTTGAGCTAAACATGTTAGACATATCATGGAGAATCTCATTTTGAACACACGCAGTTGCTGGACCGAACCAGAGCCGCAGGAGCCTTCACCGCCACTTAGACTTACTGGTGCAGCCCCTTGCTGCAAAACCGTGTTGTCCGCCGCCCCGCATGACTGTGACCCCGTTCATCGTGACGTAGCGTTTCTCGGTTGGCGATGTGGCTGAAGAAACCCCAAAACATGCAAAACATTGCGCAACTCTGTGGAATTTTCCCCAACAG